ACTAATTATATAGTATACCATACATTATCATTCAAAACAACCATCCTGCTCATAACATCTTTGAAAAGAAAAATACCTATGTGCAGTATTTTATTAAAGCAACATTTTATTTAAGAATGAAGTCTTGTTAATTACTATATTTTAGATGCAGTGTGATCGGAAGTTTCTAATTCTGGCCCAACTAAATTTCTAGCTCTCTGTTTCTCTAAACAAATAATTTGGTTTCTCTGTGCCTGCATTTTCCCTTCGGAGAAGGAAAGCACTCTGTCTTGAGTTGACCAAGAGTCCCATCAGGGATAGGGAGACTTATAATGCATCCACAGGGGCACAGGCAGAGTTAAGCCCATAAACGGAGGCACAAAATCAGCATAGAACCAGAAAGATCCAGAGTCGGCCAAGACGGAACTTTGCTACTAGACCACAAGTCAGCATGAGTTGCTCTATGGCATCAAATTGCAGCTTGTAGCAGACAAGCAGGGTCACTATCAAACTAAGCAATCAGGGCACACAAGTTGCAGTTACCCAACAAGACTAGGCCAGCTCTGGAATCCAATAACTCAATGTCAGCAAGATTTTGGGTTATAGTTCAAGAAAGTCTAACCAGAGCCAATCACAGCACCAAGGAATGCTCAAGGAAGCTATTGCAGGTTTCTCTGCTAAGAGGTTTATTTTATCCTATGTGCAGGGTTCTACCTCCAAAGGCCTCAACTCATCACCATATCCCTGGATTTCCTAAGGGTGAGATCCGCTATTTCACACCACAACTCTGGAGTCTGTATATTCAGGGAAGATTGCATTCTCCTACCGGATTTGGGCTCGTAGAGGGTGTTGGGGGAACTAGGCCCCTCACAAAACCAAATGGTCCCACCCAGGGAGAAAGGAAATCATCTTTTTTTTTTTAATAGAGACGGGGATCTCACTATGTTGCCCAGGCTGGCCTTGAACATGTGGGTTCAAGTGATCCTCCTGCCTCAGCTTCCCAAAGTGCTGGGAGTACAGTGTGAGCCACTGCACTTGGCCAGAAATGGTTTTGATCTGTCTGAATTGAACCCCTCTGCTTAGGCACAGCCCCATCCTTTATGATTTATTTACTCCCAGGGACCAAGTCCGAGATCCTTATGAGAGAGATCTGGCAGAAAGTAAATAGTGCCCCCACTCCCTGAAGTTTATGAGATTGATAAGGTAACATAATAACAGATAAAGTTTATTGAGTGCTAACTTTATGCCAGGCTCTGTTCTATGTACTTTATTTACACAACTAACTCGCTTAGTTCTCCCAACATCTCTGTGAGTTGGCTACCATCATTTATCCTCATATTACTTGCAAATAGGCCAGAGGGGTTAGGCATCTTGTCCAGAATGTGGAACCAGGTTAAGGACCAGGGAGTCTGGGCTGGGCATGGTGGCTCACACCTGTAATCCCAGCACTTTGGGAGGCCAAGGTGGCAGACCTCCTGAGCTCAGGAGTTCAAGACCAGCCTGGGCAACATGGTGAGATTCCATCTCTACCAAAAATATGAAACATTAGCGGAGCGTGGTGGTGCATGCCTGTGGACCAACTACTCAGGAGACTGAGGTGGAAGGATCACTTGAGTTCAAGAGGCAGAGGTTGCAGTGAGCCGAGATTATGCCACTGCACTCCAGCCTGGGTGACAGGGAGACAGAGTGAGACCTTGTCTCAGAGAAAAAAAAAAAAAGGCAGTCTGGGCTGGGCACTGTGGCTCAAGCCTGTAATCCCAGATATAAAATGATACAAAATGATCACTTTGTAATATAGCTAGCTTATTAGACAGAACATTTTGATCACTCATCTGTTCCCCAAGTTGTAGATTAATGTCCACTTTAGAAATGGCTTGTGAGGCAAGTTTAAGTAACCAATGACAGTTTTAAAGCAAAATCCGTGTCATGTCATAGCATAATTTGGTAAAACGCTCTAGTAGTGTATCAGTTTTCAGGTGGTAGGCTTGAGGATCACACACACACACACACACACACACACACACACACACACACACTCCTCCCTCCCGCCTTAGCCTCCCAAAGTGCTGGGATTACAGGCATGAGCCACCGTACCTAGCCATGTTTTTGATTTTTAACAAAATTATAACACCTTTAAAAAAATACATAGCCGGGTACGGTGGCTCATGCCTGTAATCCCAGCACTTTGGGAGTCCAAGGTGGGCGGATCACAAGATCAAGAGTTCAAGACCAGCCTGGTCAACATGGTGAAACCCCATCTCTACTAAAAAAAATGCAAAAATTAGCTGGTCATGTTGGTGCATCCCCGCAATCCCAGCTACTCAGGAGGCTGAGGCAGGAGAATTGCTTGAACCAGGACCCTAGAGGCAAAGGTTACAGTGAGCCAAGCCAGGCTGCACTCCAGCCTGGGCTACAGAGAGAGACTTTGTCTCAAAAAAAAAAAAAATTATATATATATATATATATATATATTTCATTGCATGAATATACCATATTTTGTTTATCTGTTCATCAGGCCAGCCATGGTGACTCACATCTGTAATCCCAGCACTTTGGGAGGCTGAGGCAGGACAATTACTTGAGCCTAGGAGTTCAAAACCAGCCTGGCAACACAGGGAGATACCATGTCTACAAATAATAAAAGATGAGCTGAGCATGGTGGCACATGCCTGTAGTCTCAGCTACTCGGGTAGGAGGATGCCTTGAGCCTGGGAGATGGAGGCTGCAATAAGCCACTGCACTCCAGCCTGGGCAACAGAGCGAAACTCTGTCTCCAAATAATGAACTAATGGATGAATGAATAAATAAATAAATATGTGTTAATCAGTTGATGGATAACTGGATTGTTTTCACTTTTTGGCTATTATGAATAACAGTGCTACGAACATTTGTGTGCAAGTTATTGTGTGGATGTCTGGTTTCATTTCTCTCGGGTACATTCCTAGGAATGGAATTGCTGGGAGATGTGGGAACTCTATATTTAACCTTTTTAGGAGCTGCCAGACTGTTTTCCTGAAGGCTTAGTTAGGAAAAGTTTTACAGTATTTTGGTTTTGTCGTCTCTTTTGATTTCCTAGGATTATACCCTTTATCATAACTTTGTCTACTTCTACGGTTTGGAAGGGTTTTAAAGCAAGACCAATTAGGTGGTCAGATTGTACTTTTGTTTTTCTTTTTTTTTTTTTTTTTTATA